GAAGTATTTATGTGAGATAGCAAAGGTTAATATGGTTAATTTTATTGCTAATTAATGTTAAAAAGTGGATTTCTTAATCTGTGTGAAAACAGTTAAAAAATTACTTATTTTGGACCGGATTAAATATACTAAATGAATTTTTCAGTATAATCTAGGCAAAAACTAGTTTCACGTGAATCCGTGACTGTTGTACCGGATCTGTCCCTGCTCATTAACGTCATAAAAAGTACTCCACTCAATTAAGATTGTGTAATTTGTGTGGTTGAAAACTTCATTAATTGACTGCATAAAGAAATTAATGCAATTTGTTAGTAGATGATATCCACATTGATCGTAACCATTTTTGGCTAATTTAAAATTTTAAATACATCAACCGGAGAGCAGTTATCAGACACTTATACATTAAAGGAAAAATGAAAATACAGCATTGAAATGATTTTGACAGGTTTGTTTGATAAAAAAACATCACGTAAACAATTCAAATTTAAAATCTTTGATTGCATCATTTACTCTTATATATAGTTTCATCCTCTTAACTTGTTTAAATTAAACAATGAAGAATAAAAGAGTAAATAAAACATTAAAAAATCATTTTCAATTTTTCCTTTTCAATATGCAGGATTTTTTTTTTAGTATCAATTTGTATTTATCACTTTTATTTCTTTTCATGGCCCAATAATTTTTAATGACAAATTTGTTCACCTGTATTTAAATACAATTTTGTTTCTCAAAACCAACTAGGAAAGCGAAGTTTCTTAAAAGAAAGTAGAAGATTGGGACATGAATAAAACGAAACAGAACGTTGCCAACGTGTACGCTGCGCAAAAAGTGGTCCAACAATAATTTGCAACATTCATGTCAATCCAAAAAAAAAAAATATTTATATATATATATTGTACTTTTAATCTCGATGAATTCTGATTTTGACCCTTGAGATATTTCACTATGCATATTTAACATTGAATTAATTAGAATGTGTCTTTTTTATTGTGATGACTGATAGGTCATTTATAGTTTTACCCATTATTTTTGTATTCCGAGACATCGAATAGCTTCGTAAAGTCTTCCTCGATTTGAAAAATTGTATGTTCTTAAGTTTCATTAAAAATTTCATTTGTTTTGATGTCTGATTCGTAGTTCTAGGTGTTATTTTGGTTTTTTGATCGCCCGAGCGAATTTGTATGATTTTTTGGACTTGTGTGCATGTTTGGTTTGGAGCCCCGAGGGCTCGGATGAGTTTCGTACGCGTGACGGAGTGTTGAAAGAGTTTGAACTTTGCCGATTCTGATGCACAGGCTTCAGACCTCGCAATTGCGAGGTCTGGTTCGCATTTGCCATAATACAGGGCCTCTGTCAGGTTCATATTTACGAACAACTTCTTCGCAATTGCGAAGTGGGGGCTTGGATAGCAGGAATCACAATTGCGATCAATTGGTCGCTTTTGCGAAGCTCCAGTGTTCGCATTTATGAACAAACCATGGCAATTGCGATGGAAGCAGAGATGTGGACTTATTCGCATTTGCGAAGCATTTCTCGCATTTACGGGTTCGCATCTGCGAACCCCATGTTTGTGCCTAGACAAAAGAGGGGGGGGAACGAGAATTAGCTTATTTCTCTCAAACTCTCAACCCTAAACACTCTAGAGGCGATTTTCCCAAAAGATTTTCTTCCTAAATTCATTGGTAAGTGACTTTAATCTATTTCTTTTCAATTACCCATTACATTTCATAAGTTTTCAACATCAAATCTAGGATTTTCATAGTATAAATTAGGAATATGGGTAGAATTAGGAATTTTTGTAAATTTGCGATTTAGACTTCGAATTGAGATTGAATTTCGAAACTAATTACGTAACCGGGCTCGGGATGAATGGATGATTGAGTTTTGGTCCGAATCTCGGGTTTTGACCAAGCGGGCCCGAATTTGACTTTTGTTGACTTTTTCCGAAATCATTAAATATTGAATCTTTTTCACTCATGGATAGTTTCTAAAGCTTATTTTGAATTGTTTGAACGATATTTGGTTAGATTCGATTGATTTGGAGGCAGAATTTAGAGGAAAGGCCCCCTCGTTGAGCTTTGATTTGATTGCACAGCTAGATAAGTGGCGTGGTTAACCTTGACTTGAGGGATTATGACTTGTTTGCCTATTTGCTACGTGATTACGTGTGGGTACAACGTATGTGTGAGGTGACGAGTATTTATGCGTTGTTGTTGGGATAAAGCATATGGGTGAAACTTATTTCCTTGTGATTTGTTGCCTTTTTAATTATGATATCCATGCTTAGGTTAGATTGTTACTTATTTGATCATTCCTTCCGTAATTGTTGCTTAATTAATAATGATTGAGTAATTTGGAAGTTAAGGATTGGTATCTTGGCATCATATTTGACGTAAAGCCCATTCACTGCGCCATTTATCTCCCGAATTTATATTATCTTTACTACATGGTAAATGAGAATGTTAAAGCACGAAAGGTGATGCCATGCCATTGCATGATCTCATTTATTGATTAATACATAGCGAGGGAGAGAATTAAAGCACGAAGGGTGTTGCTGTGCCATTTATATCATTTATCCATCGTTTCATGGTGAGATTGAGCGCAAAAGCACGAAGGGTGATATCGTGCCATCTATATCAATTATTCATTGTTACATGGGAAAATCGAGAGTAAAAACATGAAGGGTGATGCCGTGCCATTTCATTCTACTTATATCATCATTTCATGATAAGGATGAGAGTAAAAGCAAGAAGTATGATACTGTGCCATATTTATACCGTATGTTTATCCGTCTTTATTGGTTGATGATTTATTTGGCTATCTTGTGATGTCATACCTGTTGTAGTTATCGTATTTTTTCCCCTTTGGCATGTCCCCTCCCAATTGTACATTGTTAAATCTCTATTTTGTTCTTGTTTTCGCGCGCGCACGCGCACACACACACATGTGTGTGTGTGTGTGTATGTATGTATGTATGTATGTATGTATGTATGTATGTATGTATGTATGTATGTATGTACATGTTTAATTATGTGAGTGTCCTATCATAGCCTCGTTACTACCTCGTCGAGGTTAGACTCGACGCTTACAAAGTACATTGGGTCGGTTGTACTCATACTATACTTCTGCACTTCTTGTGCAGATTTTGGTATTGGTCCCAGCGGTGCGTCAGCTCGGATTATTGCATGCGGAGACTTGAGGTAGATCTGTTGGCGTCCGCAGATCTTGGAGTCCCCTTCCTCTTCCCTCTTTTACTATTCGTTTCGTTCGAAACAGTTGTATTTATTTTAGGCTCTGCTTGTAGAACTTCTAGTAGCTCGTGTACTTGTGACTCCAGATCTTTGGGAATAGGCAGTACACGAGCTACTAGAAGTTCTACAAACAAAATCTGAAATAAATGCAACTATTTCGAATGAAATGAACAATAAAAGAGGAAAGAGGAAGGAGACTCCAAGATATCATTTAAATTGCGTACAAATTTAATTGTTACTCATTTTTGGGGTAAATAACTATAAGAGTACATTTTCCACGGAAAAAAGTTATGAATTGTGCTAGGAATAATGATTCATATTGTTATTCCAAAGTTGCTTGGGGTCGAAACATAATTATTTATATTTTATTATTATTATTATTATCAATTATGTTCGAGTGATACGCATGTAATATCACTTTGATTAAATTACTTGTTTCAAGAAAACGCCGACTACGAGTAGTATTTTCCCACCAACCTCCCGGTGAAAAGAAGAAACGAAAAGAACAAACTCCTATAATTGCTGCACCCTATCACCGAGTCTTTGCTAAAAAAAAAAAATCTTTGTCTCAAAAATCTTGAGTCCCTTTGTAGTACATAAGATTTTTTTTTTTTTTTTTTGAAATCAGCATTTATTCATAAATTTTTTAATTTTTACCTAAAAATGCATTTTAAAACTTTTCGAAAATTTGAAAAACTCTAAAAAGTTATTTTTTAAAATTTTTACTCAATTACTCATAAAACTTAAAAAACAATCCAAAATTATATTCATATTCAAACAAAACTCTAATTTTCAAAAGGTAAGTTTTATAGAGCAGTGGTTAGGCCTGCCATGTTATATGGAACTGAATGTTGGCCGGTAAAGAACTCACACATACAGAAGATGAAAGTAGCGGAGATGAGGATGTTGAGGTGGATGTGCGGGCATACAAGGATGAATAAGATTAGGAATGAAGATATTCGAGAGAAGGTGGGCGTGGCCCCCATGGAAGACAAGATGCGGGAAGTAAGACTCAGATGGTTCGGGCACATTCAGAGGAGGAGCACTGATGCACCGGTGAGGAGGTGTGAGCGACTGACTGTGGTGGGCACGCGGAGAGGTAGGGGGCGACCTAAGAAGTATTGGGGAGAGGTGATCAGACAGGACATGGCGCGACTTAGGATTACTGAGGACATGACCCTTGACAGGGGATTATGGAGGTCGAGCATTAAGGTTGTAGGTTAGGGAAAAGTTGTGAATATTTCTACAGCACAATAGAGTGAGACTAGCCAGTTAGGAGTTAGACTAAGAATGTCATTGGTCGTCTATTGATGTAGGGCTTTACCTGCTAGTTTTACTATACTAGCCATATATTTCGTATTTCGTATTTCGTATTGTGTATTTAATATCTTTTATATTGCGGTTATTTTATTATGCATTTTTATGGTACTAATATATCGGTTCCTGTTGCTTTTTTGAGCCGAGGGTCTCCTGGAAACAGCCTCTCTAACCTTTTGGGTAGGGATAAGGTCTGCGTACATGTTACCCTTCCCGGACCCCACCTATGAGATTATACTGGGTCGTTGTTGTTGTTGTATGTCCAAACGCCCACTAAATGGCGCCGTACCTAGCTGGCGAACGTTAGCCCCTGACCCATTCTTTAACCTCTTTCGGTAAATCGTATCCCCATCTCCTTGGCCAAAATAAATAAATAATAATAATCACCATCTGCAAAAACAACGACCCTTATCCTACTTCTCTTCTTCCTCCGAACCCCACCCCCCCTCACTACCCCCACATCATCTTCTTTGAATAGTGTGCCAATCATAATTTATACTGTACATATCTTTATACTATTTGAATACTAATTTTCTATTGAGATTATCAAAATATATATACAACTCAGCTTACGGTAAAAATCCGAAAAAGAAAAGTTTATATATTATAGTACATTGAAATGGGTAGTTTCTAAAGGAGGAAAAAAGCAAGAAAACTTTATTGAGAAAAGAAGAGTGTTTTTCCAATGGAATCATCGGCAGAGCGACGTCTGAAAGCTATTCAAAACCATCTTGTTCCGGTCATCGATGACCGGTCACTCTCATTCATCCGGTCAAACCCAACCGCCGGCGAATTTGTTCAAGGTAATTCACTACTTCCTGATTACCCAATGATCTGTTCTTTTACTTCTGTGTAGATACAAAAATTAGATGTGATATGTGGAATTGTGATGTGGTGGGAAAGAATCTAAAGTTTGAAGCTTTTTGAGTGTACGAAGTATTTTGATACCCAAATCAGAATAGTGGTTAGGGGTTTTGTTTATGCTTTGTGGTTTTCTGGGACCCTCTATGGAATATGTATCTGCTTACTGGTGGAAGGTGGTGTTATCTTTTAAGACCACTGACTTGACTCAAGTCTTTATTTTTATTGTTTTTTTCCCTCATTCTAAAGTACTATTGAAAAGGTTATTTTTAAAAAGTTGAGAACGTGCTTGGACTTTAGTTTTTTGAAGATTTGATTCCTGAGGATCTTGAGGTTTAGCTATCAGTGGAACAGTGATCTCTACTTTTGTTTCTGGGTTTATTTTTGTTACTCATAAGCATGTGTTGAGAAGTCATTTTTTTTTTGTGACAAAGGATAAAGGAAACTTTTCTTCAAATTTGCACCATTCGGAGGAGACACCCACACATATTTAATAACCAACTTCGTTTTCTTGTTTCTTTACTTTTTCTCCTTTTTTTTTTTGATAAGCTAAAAGTTTTATTAATAAGGTACCAAGATGGTACAAAAGTTACAGAGAACACCCCAAAACAGTCATATCCTATAAGCTTCCAAGTAAATCCAGAAACTCTAAAAACTTTTGATGTTCTGTTGATACACTGCTTTTACACCAATAAAACAAGTTGTGAATACATTTGTTTCTAATTCTAAAAATGTGCTCCCTATGTCCTTCAAAACAAGCCTGGTTCCTTTCCAGCCATAAAGTCCAGAAGATGCATAATGGGATGGTTCTCCATATTTGCTTCAGTCTTCTAGGTACTCTTTGACTATACCACTCTTCCAACAAGCTCCTAACAGTCGGTGGCATCACCCAAGAAATTCCACATATGTTCAAGAATAAATCCCAACATTGTCTAGCAATTCTACAATGAAGCATAATATGATTCACTGATTCTTGATCTCCTTCACATAAATAGCATCTATTGCTAAGATTAAAACCTCTTTTTTTGCAAATTGTCTTGTGTCAAACATGCTTCCCCAGTTGCTATCCAACCAAAGCATGCCACCTTGGCTGGAGCTTTTGTCTTCCATATCATCTTCCATGGCCAATTATCCACCCTGTGTCTTGACTGTTTAATCAGCATATTCTAACAACTTCTGACTGAAAACTTTTTATCCTTTTCCTCTGCCCAGATCAATGCATCCGTCTTACTATGATTAATTGAGACTGAATCAAGCTGCTGAAGTAAGAAACAATAGTCTTCTATCTCCCAGTCGTTCAGGTTTCTTCTAAGCTCCACTTGCCAGCCTGATTCTGTGAAAAAATTAGCAATCACTCCTCCCTTATTAAGGGAATAGTTGAATAGAGAAGGATACTTAGATTTCAAGTATTCCTCCCCTATCCATAAATCTGGCCAGAATTTAATTTTTTGCCCATTCCCAACTTCCAGCTTTGTATGTTTCAGAAATTCTTCCCAAAGTTTACTAATACACTTCCAAATACCTCCTTTTGCATTCAACTGCAAAGAGGAAGGTCTCCAATCAGTCTTGATTCCATAAATAGCACTGATCAGCTTCTTCCATACTTTATCCCCTTCCTGAGTAAATCTCCATAGCCATTTAAAAAGTAGACTCTTATTGTGGGCTTTCAAATTCCTAATCCCCAAACCACCCCCTTCTTTATCTTTTAACACCACTTGCCATTTAATTAAATGCATTTTCTTTTAGTAGCATTGCCATCCCATAGAAAATTATTCCTCATGGTGTTTATCTTTTTCTCCACTGCTACAGGCATAGCAAAGAGTGACATCAGGTAAGTTGGCATTCCATCTAACACACTTTTAATCAATGTGACTCTACCTCCCATAGATAAATATTGCTTCTTCCAGGGAACCAACTTATTTGCACATCTATCCAAAACCCCTTGCCACATGTTCTGATCATTTTTTCTAGCACCCAGAGGTAGCCCAAAATATACTTTTGGAAATCTCTCAACCTTACAACCCAAGATAGCAGCCAACTCCTCAACTGTATCATCAGCATTACTTTTTCTCCTTTTGATAGCTGATGGAATAATCAAACTTTATTTTTGAGGTCTTGCGATTCATGTAATGTTGCATAGAACTATTTCACAGTAGTATTCCTTATAGTAAGATCAGAAAATCTTAGACTTTGAAGGAGAAAGCACGAAAATAGTTTTTATGGGTGGTGGAAAGGAAAGTATAATCCATATTAATAGATAATAACCTTCCTGAAGTCTATCTGTAAATTCAGAATGCCTACCCTCTTTCATTGCTTTCTATGCTTTCACTTTTTTGTTTGAGGGGTGGGGTGTTAGAGGGGGAGAAACATGGGAGTCAGAGACAGGAGTCTCTTTGCTTGGTTAGAATCTGTAATTGACCACGATAGTTGTGATCTTTTGAGAATATGGTTGGAGGAATTATTTCTTGGCAGACAGTTTGCTACTAGGTGTTCTGTTGGCCTGTTTTTTGTTTGTTTGGATGAAGTAAGATGATTCATTGATGGCATCCAGAAGATGCAGAAATACAAAATAGGCCATTGTTAACTCCATTACAATGTGATTCAATTCCAGTCGG